GGGAGGAAATTTTGGTGCATTCCCATGGCATTGACTTTGGTCCCTGAGGATTTCACCTTCGCTTTCCCTGAACAGAGCCAGGGAGGTGATGGTTGTGACTGGGAGGTGGGGTTCACTTTGGGTTTATAAGGCTGGTCCTTATTTCAGGTTGGAGGTTGCCCAAAGATGAGACCAAACAGTGACTCCCTTCCAAGAGCCCAAGCTACCGACCAGGAGAACTGAGGCCTACACTAAACAGATGGAGAAGCAGGAGGAAAAAGAAACAGAAAAAACAAGGCTAAAAGACAGCCAGAAGAGACAGTAGTGAGAGATAGCAAGGCACACCAAGCATGAGATGGGAGAGCATGCACAGACGCACACACTGTCCTGCGGTGGAAAACCACTCCAGGTGTGAGAGAACCAGTGTGCAAGACTTTCCAACCAAGATCTGCAGAAATGAAGGAGAGCCCCTAGCAAGCCATGGACTGGACCTGGGAAAATTAGCCGTCCAGATGAGTTTAACATCAGTGTTTTAGAGCACAGGGTCCTTGCAAGGCCCGAACCTTGTTGACCACTAACTTTTGTTTTGTTTTGTTACAGCCATGAAATCAAATGTAAAGGCAAAAAGCCAAACACAGAAAAACCTAGTCATTCAAAGGAAAATCTCCGACACCCTGTTCTCAAGCAGTGCACAGGGAAAATCAGACATGTTTTGATTCCTGATCCTACGCAGGAGCTTAGGAAATGGGATTTCATGACAAAGCATCACTTTTCCCAAGTCATGGGAAGGATTTAAATAAACTATGGATCAGATGGCAAGGCACAGTGTCTTTCAGGAAAATCTTTTTTCTCCTTTTGCGGGGACAGGCATGGGGAAGATGGGAAGAGGAGGCACAGGAAATGAAGGAGTATCCCTTCCCCCTGCCCCGCTGTCCTTTTTTATTTACACAGAAAGAAATTCAGATGCATGTGTACACTTGAAAGAAAAATGGATATCCGAGGCAGCCTGTTTGGAAACCCCAGGTACTGGGCCTGACACAGGTTGCTTTACGTCACATGCTCCTTTATGACATGTACCATCTTGTCACCAGGGAGACTTGTGATGTGAGAGGGAAAAAGGCAGCCTCGAGTATTTCTTCCCATACCTCTGCTGGTATCCCCCGAGAGCGAGTGCTTAGTTTGACTAGGTTTCCCAGGTGTTGTTTATTGTGTCCCTCTATTTCTAGGATTAGTGATTAGGATTCATATTGTTAGCAGCTTAGTTGGTAGGTTAATATTAGTTAGTTTATATAGTTTGTAGCTTAATATTACATAGTAAGTAGAGTTATCTTAGAATTAGTAGGAATTCGTTTTTGAGAAATTATTAATATCCCCTAGAGATAAGATACCCCATAGTTTATAAGGACAGTTTGGAGAAAAAAACGAGAATGGAGAGAAGACCAGGATCCCGCCCAGTGCGTGTAAGTGGCTTGCTAGGGCTTCTCCTTCATTTCTCTTGCTCTCGGTTGGGAAATCTTGCACGCTGGATCTGTCTCTCACCTGCGGCTTTCCAATGTAGGACATTGTCTGGTTCCTCCCTTCTCATGTGCTCGGGGTTCCTTGCAACCTCTTGCTATGCAATTTGTGAGTCTCTTCTGACTGTCTTCTAATGTGTTGCTGTCTTCCTTTTTCCTGCTGCTTCTCCATGTGTTTAGTGTAGACCCCTATGGTCCTGGTCTGTAGTTTGGGCTCTTG